CGTCTCTGTAGGCCTTAATGTTGTTTTTGAAGAAAGTCTCCACTCGGTCTTTCACCCAGTCCTGGAACAAGAATGCCAGCACAGCCAGCGCCAGCTCTAGGATGAAGATGAGCACGATGGTCCCACAGAACTACAGCAAAGAGAGAAGGAATGGAGAGAAGAGAAAGAGACAAGCCATTTTAGGAAGGGGAAGAACGCGTCCATCCAAAACAGAAGAAAGCCAGTCGAGGGATCCTTGGTGCTCTCTTGAGCTTGGTTGCAGACGTTTCCTTACCCAAACTAGGCAACATCATCGGTGCTACTCATCATCATGAACATCTGTGGGTCCTTGGTGCTCTCTTAGCTTGGTGCTTGGTGCGGTGATGATGTTACCTAGTTTGGGTCATGAAATGTCTGCAAGACAACAACGAAGCTCAGAGAGCACCAAGGACCCTCCTGTCAACTCTGAGCTACAAATATTCTTTTATTGGAAGCCAGATGGTTTTCAACAGCGCTCCAGGGAATTCAAGCTGATCTTTAGGAGATCGTCAGCAATTTAACTGGAAGATTATTTCATTGAATTGAATTGGCCAACCGCATACATAGATTTTCTGCTCCACTCACACAAGGCTGTAGATACGTAATTCCCAATGGTGATCTATCTGGCTGTTCCCCGTGATTATCTAAGAGAACTTTTGAGTTTGACTCCTGATCCAAAAGTGCTTTTTCAGGAGGCAACTGGACTTCCTTGCTTTTCTTTGAAGACATTTCATTTCTCATCCTTTGGGACAACCATGACCTGGATGACCTAGAACCAGGGGTAGGCAACCTTGGTTCTTTTATGACTTGTGGACTTCAACTCCCAGAATACCTGAGCCAGCCACGCTGAGGGAAAAGGGAGAGGTTTCCAAGCTGAGCCATGCTGGCTCAGGAATTCTGGGAATTGAAGTCCACAAGTCATAAAAGAGCCAAGATTGCCTACCCCTGATCTAGACATTTGACTCCTGATGTGATAGATGGGAAAAGGTTCCCCTTTTTCAGACAAAAAGCCTGAAAATCCTTGAAACAGGTCAAGACATTTCCTGCAGAAAAGAAGGTGTCTATTTTCACAAGGAAAATAAAAACTCACCATGACCTCCCATTCTATTACGTTAAATAGATACGAGAATAACCTGATCCCCAGTAATCACTTGAAGGGGGTTTAAAAAGAGGTGCATGGTTAGACTTTCAATTGACAAGTTGGCTTTTGAATAGCACCTTTGAGACAACCATGATCTGGATGACTGAGAATCTCCCTAGACACTTGGGCCGATGTTATTAGGAACATTCAGGATCTCCAAAGTATAAATTCAATTCCCCCAATAAGGCAAAAACAGACCCTCATGCTTAGATTTCTCAGTCATACTCAATTCTAAGAATTCGTTTTCATGGTCAAGAATGTCGGTTGGAACTACTTTTTCACATAAGTATGTGAGTTTGTGATCAGACTTTTGGAACCTGGTTTGATTCTGTACTTTTATTTTCTCCTGTGGAGTCAATCACAACAAAGTGCTAAATCTCTTTTCCAGACTAACTGGTTTTAACCACACAGGAACCAATTTGCATCAAAGCAATGACATCACCAGCAATCTGGTCACCTACACTTCCTTCTATATTTGATCACCTGCTTCTTTCCAATTGCATTGGGATGACAACCCCCAGTATTCCCAAAAGCATGACCAAAGGCTGAGTAGTCTGGAAAATGCTTTGAGGAAGTTGTGTTCAATGAAAGGTAACGAAAATGCAAATTTTCTAAGGCCTTGTTCAGAACTTTCCAGCTGTTCAGTTACGCTATTAGAACTGGGATGCAAAGAAATAGATGGCTACTAGATAGTAGGAGTGTATCTCCTCTTTACCATCTGATGGTGGTTTGGAATAATAATAATAATAATAATAATAATAATAATAATAATAATAATAATAATAATAATAATAATAATAATAATAATAATAATAATAATAATAATAATAATAATAATAATAATAATAATAATAATAAAAAAAAAGTTGGAAGGGACCTTGGAGGTCATCAAGTCCAACCCCCTGCTCAGGCAGGTAACCCTATACCCTTTCGGACAAATGGCTGTCCAGTCTCTTCTTAAAAACTTTCAGTGTTGGAGCGTTCACCGCTTCTGGAGGCAGGTTGTTCCACTGGTTAATTGTTCTCACTGTCAGGAAGTTTCTCCTTAGTTCTAGGTTGCTTCTCTCCTTGGTTAGTTTCCATCTGTTGCTTCTTGTCCTGCCTTCAGGCACTTTGGAGAATAGCTTGACTCCCTCTTCTTTGGGGCAGCCCCTGAGATACTCAAAGACTGCTATCATGTCCCCCCTTGTCCTTCTCTTCATTAAACTAGACATACCCAATTCCTGCAACTGTTCCTTATATGTTTTAGCCTCCAGTCCCCTAATCATCTTTGTTGCTCTTCTCTTCACTCTTTCTAGAGTCTCAGCATCTTTTTTACTTCGTGGTGACCAGAACTGGATGCAGGATTCCAAGTGTGGCCTTACCAAGGCCTTGTAAAGTGGTATCAACACTTCACGTGATCTTGATTCTATCCCTCTGTTAATGCAGCCCAGCACTGTGTTGGCTTTTTTGGCAGCTGCAACACACGGCCGGCTCATATTTAAGTGATTGTCCACTAGGATAGGACAGTCCAGTTCTGTCAAAATGGTTCTGCCCCCAACACAAACACATCAGAATCCAGCAACTTACAAATTTCAAAAGGCAAATATTTTCCCGCAGGGCTCCCACGCAGCCAGCAAACCCCAGCACGAACATCACCCCTCCGACGAACAAGATAAGGAACACAGGATCAAAGCCATGCAGGCGAGTCATCTTGGATAGATCAGACAGCACACCCTAAAAGGGAACACAAATGAACGAGGATGAAGTCCTGCTGAACTTTCACGTAGGACCTACAAGGCAGACATTCCCAACGACAATCCAAAGTGCCGTGAGCATGCCGGGGTTCCACAAAAGTACAGAAAAAAATGTTTAGCCTTTGATCACAAGTGCAAAGTCCTATTTTCTGAGACCCTCACTTCATTTAATCTCTTTAAATAAGTTTATGGGGATATAGCAGAGGATGCAAAATAATTCTATGGGGGGGGGGAGATGGCAGGAAGAGTGGCCAAAGATTGTATGGTTGAATGAATGAATGAATGAATGAATGAATGAATGAATCAATCAATCAATCAATCAATCAATCAATCAATCAATCAATCAATCAATCAATCAATCACTCCACCAACAATCCCAGGAATTGCCCCCTTCAAAATAATAATCGATATCTTTGTAACATGTATCAGCTTTCTATAATCTTAACAGTCTGCAGATATGTTATACTGCAAAGTCAGAATTCACAATAGCTAGATAACAGCTTGCTGAGAATTTGGTTTGTTGGGAATAAAAAAAAATGGTGGATTCAGACTAGGAAGGTGGTAGATGACCCTTCTGCAGAGAACTGTTTGAATTCCAAAATACTGAACTACTGGGCTAAAAAAATAAAATCTACAAAAGGATATTTGCTATACGGTCTTTCATTCTGACCCTTAAGTCCAGCTTAGAAAAGGAATTTTCTTTCCTTCCTTCCTTCCTTCCTTCCTTCCTTCCTTCCTTCCTTCCTTCCTCCCTCCCTCCCTCCCTCCCTCCCTCCCCTTCCTCCTCCATCCATCTTTTTACAAACAACATTTGTCAACAAACGAGAGTGTTGCAAATCCAGGGAAGCGTTTCCCTTTCCAGGGTTGCATTAGGGGTATGACAGAATTCTTATTACACTAAAAGGTTTGTTTTTAATTTATTAATCAAATTTGCATAGCCATCCATCTCAGCCAAAGCAGCTCTGGGCTTACCGAGGCTCATTTTAATGCTGGATTGTGAATGCATCCAATTCCGTAACGGACAAATAGAAGAACTCTGAATAAGACTACTCAAAACGAAGTGCCAACGTGAGATTTTTAAACAGGCAAATGGATTTTCAGAATAAAGGAGGAGAGGGAAAAAAAATGTCGCTTGCCACAGTCTGTTCCCAAAAGGAATGTGTTTTTTTTGCATTTCCCTTAGGCCAGGGGACAGATCTTATTTACTTCAATATTTTAAATCTTTTGTCTAAATAAAATGCGACTTAATATTTACTTTGGATTTTGAAGGGGGAGGGGGGCTTCTAACAGATAATAGTTATTCTCAAAAGCACAGTGCAATAATTCTATTTCCACTGAGGTTCTACTTTCAGTCACTTTCCCCCCCCCCAAAAAAAAGACACAAAAGAGGGCCATTTCTCACATATAATTCTCCAATTCTGCACAAGGGATGTTTTGCAAGAAACAAATTTACTAGAAATCACGACATTGTTCAACTAATAAATACAGAGTTTCAGCTTTTTGATCAGTGTGTCTTTGGGTTTCAGCTTTTTGATCAGTGTGTCTTTGATGTGATGGCCAAATATGGCTCTTTTAGGTTCGTGCCTCGGCATGCATATTTTCCAATGAGACAAACCGAGACAGGAAGTTCATTTTATTACAGTTTATCAGAATATTCAGGCAAAAGGGGTTCCTCTCGTTCAAAGAGGGAACCCCAATCTTTAGCTTAGCATAACGAAGAAACATCCAAGAGGAAAATTGATTGGGTAGGATAACAGTAACCTCCCTTTTGCATAGGAAATCAATTGCATGCGGTCAAGCATGTTACATATTTGCATCCCACAATATCACACATGTTTATTAAAACGAGGTCTGACGTCAGGAGAGGTGTACTTTGTAAGGAAAAGCGTTGTTTAGAGTTCACGAAAGAGATAAACCAGACCCCCAATTTGCACTAACAAACTTGGTCTCATCTTCAGATCATCTCCAGCCTGTTTCTCTCTTCCATTTAGGAATGCTAAAAGCTATCCCTAAATCCCTGTCTGTATTGTACTTGAACAATCAATCTGAAGATTGATCTTTTCAATTTAGGAACGTTAAAAGCTATTCCTAAATTCCTTGAACATTCTTTTGAGACAGAGAAAACAAGTCAAACTGAAACACTAAATAACTGTCTTAAGATCTAAAGTTCATAATCGAAGTATCTATGTCAACTGACAATGACAAAACTCATGCCTGTCGTTTGTCCCTCAGATGACAAACCAGGTTTATCTCTGGCCAATGATCCTCAGCAAGCCAGCCCATCTGAGAACCAGGAACTATAAGAAGCCTCCACTAGATGGAACAAACGAGCTGAAGATGGTTCCGGGTGTGTTTTTATTGCTGTTTGGAGCAGAGTTTTTTACTAGTGTTTCTGTAGCAGTTTCCTGCTTCCGGGACAACAAAGCCAAAATAGCAGTTCATTTGATGGCTGTTTATTAACTAGCACTTATCCGCAAAGAAGCCATCAATTCTCTAGAGTTGCTTCTTGGGGTTTTTTTAGACACCTGGGCATTCAGCGTAAAAGCAATCATAAAACACTCCGGGTTAGAATGAGCTGTTTTAAGCTAAGACTGCGGAAACAGCAGCAGCGGAAAAAAAGGATGCGGAAGAGGGCAGAATGTCAGCGGAGATGGCTGACTTGACCCCTTGGATCCGGGAGGGAACACAACTGCCTTTTATAAAGGGATGGAAACCCTTTATGGAGGTTTTTTTTGTTGTTGTTGTTGTCGTTGTTGAAAATGGAGACAAATCCATTTCCGAATTTGCTGATTAATAAGGGTTAATTAAGAGGAGAAGGGAACCACGTTATGTTATTTAGAAGTGGAGAAAGAGTTTGCAGCGCTAGTTTGTGGAGAAATGTTTTTTTTGGGGGGGGGAAACTGCTGGAAAGAAGATGAGAAGTCACTTTTTAAAGTTTCTTTTCTTTCTTTTCATTTTCTATTGTTTTCAACTCCTTCCTTCCTTTCTCCCTCCCTTTCTCTGTCTCTCCTTTCTTCCTCTCTCCCTCCCTTTCTCTCCTTCCCTTCCTCCCTCCCTTCCTTCCTTTCTCCCTCCCTTTCTCTCTCCTTCCTCCCTCCCTTTTTCTCTCCTTCCCTCTCCCTCCCTCCTTCCTTCCTTCCTCCCTCCCTCTCTCCTTTCTTCCTTTCCCCTCCCCTCCCTCCTTTCCTTTCCTTTCCTTTCCTTTCTTTCCTTTCTCTTCCTTCCTTCCTTCCTTCCTTCCTTCCTTCCTTCCTTCCATCTTTCCCTTTTCTATATTGTTTCATGTTGATCTTTTGACCTTGTGTGTTTATGCATCTGTGTGTGTTTGTGTGTGTGTGTGTCTGTATGTGAGTGTGTGTGTAAAAGAATAAGCTGTTTGAGCACACTGTTCAGTGCAAAAATTACTTGGTGCAGTAAACCACCCTAGACAGACCAAGATAGACAACCTATCTTCAGCGTGAACGCATCCAATGAATGGAGATCGCCACCTGAGAAGCTTTTGGTAACACCCAAGTGGAGTTACCTTCTTCTGAGCGTCCTTTTAAGTGTTTGAAGACCGTGATCGCGTTCCTCCTTAAGTCTTCTAAAGGCTAAACATTCCCAATTCTTGTGTATCTTTAGAGAAGTTGGTTTCTAGTCCTCTGATCACCCAAACTATACTCCTTTGTCTCTGAACGTTCACTAATTCCATTTTCACATCTCAGAAAGCGTGACTAGACACCGAGACAGTCTATATTGGCCTGTACGTCCTCCAAAGAACATTCAGAAATTATTTATTTGCTTACTAACAACGATGAAAGGGAAAGACACTAGAACTTGCTCCACAGGACCAAATATTTTCTGCTTTGTAGGAATGTTAGTCATGAAGGACATACTCTTGGCAACTGGTTGTTGCATTTTTTTGTTCTTGTTTGTTTAAATAATGGCACCAGCTATACAAACGGGGGGGGGGGGGAGTGTTTAGCAAACCAAAAAGGAAATGGGAACAAATCATGAAGCGACAGAGCATCCCACAACTCCAGGAGGCAAACTCTTCCATGGATTATGCTAGACTTTCATTGCCTCTTTGATGAAGTGATTAAATTAATGGATCTGGGAAATGCGGTGGATATAGTTTACTTGGAATTCAATAAAGTAATGGCTCTTTGGCCTTCCAGAGATGCTGAAATACCTAGATAATTTTGAAAATATTTTTTTAAAAAACTATTTTCGCTGCCTACAAAGTACTTCAGCCAAGGCACTTTAATTTGCTTTCCATTGGCCTCAAATCACCTCACGATGGATAGCATTTGTGAGTGCAGTGGTTAAACAAAGGACACAAATTGGCCAGAAAAACATACTTCTGAGTTTAATGGGCAACGGAATAAGTAAGAAGTTGTATATTCAAAGAACAAACGTGGGCCTGAAAACATGAGCCTACTCCTGTTTACTCAGAGGCAAGCCTAGTCATGGTTTAATGAAACCTACGCCTAGGAAAACATGAAGTTAAAATCCTTACAAATAGGTACTCCTGAGCTTAGCAGGGCTTCATTTTGAGGCATTTATAGGATTAGACTAATCTCTGCATTCCTGAATGAAGAACTGATTTCATAGCCATGAATAAAATCAGCATGGAGACAGACACATTATGTCATGTATTCCTTTATTTATCAGCCTTTCTAATCGAGCTCTCTCTCAAGATAGACCTGTCATATTTCTAGGAAAGAGACTAGATCCTATGAGGTCTAAAAGATCTTATTTTGCTTACCTTTTCACTCCATGCCCAAAGACCCGCTCCAAGGAATGCCACGCCAGCCAACTAAGAGAAAAAGAAAAAAAAACATAGCTATTATTTTGTGCACCCAATGCACAAGTCAGAACATGCGTGTGTAAAAGCGTCTCCGTGGGATTTTTCTGTAAATGTTGTAGGTCTATGATGCATGTTGTTGGGGGGGGGGAATAACATGCCTTAGCAAATTTGCACCAACGAGATCCACACTGGACATTGAGTTATCTCATAAAGGGATAATACAATCATTGTACGCTGGGTAACTTGGCTCAAACTTCTCAGCAGTAGTGACAAATAACCAATATCCATTCTGGGGATTAGAAGGAAAAGGACAGAAATGAAACTCACCACGTTATAAAGATTGTACAAAGCTTAGGATGGGGAATATTCTGGGCAAGCAATCTCAGAAAGACTACTCAGCTGTGTGAAAACGAGCAAGAGAAAGGAAGCAAGTAGCAGGGCTGTATTACTATTATCCTTCTCCTCTTTCCTATTGCCCTCACCGATTAGTATCTCATGGTTTTATCACTTTGTGGCTTGTATGTACACTGAGAGCTTATGCACTGGAGACAAATTCCTTGTGTATTTGTGGGAAGTCAGCCCCCCACCCCAGAGAAGGAAATATTAAAGAGGCAGAAAGGCATGCCCAGTTTTTTTCTTAATAGCCCCAAGTCTCCCTCCCCCAGGCACAAACCATCTCTGTAGAAATGCAGATGTAAATAACCCAGGAAAGTTGGAGGCCCCCAGCTAGAAGCTTAGTAAGACAAAGACCTAAAAACTACACACCCCACCCACAGATGCCAAAGGACACACTCAGACTCAAGTCAAAGGTCATGCCACAGGAACAACTCCAAACAAAAGGCTCCAGAGGGTATAAAAACCCACTCCCTACATGTGCTCTCTCTCTCTCTTTTCTTCCAGAGCCATCTTTCTATCTGGCTCTCCTCTCCAATAAAATGCAACCTTCTTTCTAAAGCAGTCGCCATGTTGTTTATTCCCGACTTGGACTGAACCATGATGAAGATTTTTCCTTCAACAGTCCAGTCACATTTGGCCAATAAAGAATATTCTAATTCTAATTCTAGCCAAAGGAGTGAAGCTTGCTAATTGCAAATATGTGGGTAGGAAGGAAGGAAGACAGGCCAGGTTTCCTGCCTCGAGTGGGAGTCAGGCAAGGAAATGGTGACATTAAAAAAAGAAACATCTAAAAAACGGAGAAGAACAAGGACTCCATCTGGTCGTTGAAGGCACAGGAAGAGAGGGAGGTCTCGGGAACCCGACAACAGATCCCACTGAGTCAATTATTCTGCTATTTTTTTTTTAAAACAAATGCCATTTTCACTTTCCAAACACCAGGCAGACAGCTGAGCTAGCAAGTCAATGTGGCCTTCCTGAGCCCTCTCTTATCTGCTGCTGACAACTCCACAAGACTATTGGGAAAGAGAAACTCTGCAAGTAAAGATATCAGCATGGGTTGTTGTCCAAGCCTACATCTGGTCAAGCTGCCTGCCTGCATGCAGAAGATTTAATCTTCAGCTACAATTCTCTGGAGCTATAAAGTGAGGGAAAAGATAAGACAGAAGGACTCTAGGGGGTGTGCAGAAACAATTGAAAGCATTCAGACGCCATCTCAACATTCCCAAAGTTTTCTGAGACCCAAGCGACTCTTTCAACTTCAAAAAGAAATGATTCCTTGAGCAAAAACAAGAGTTTTCCAAGAAGGGTTGGGACACTTCATGCAAGATGAAGGAACTGATTCAAGCTCGACTATTACAAGG